TCATAGTTTGAAATTTGGGTTGCAAAGATATAGGGATTGTAATAAAAGAATTTTATGGCAAAGTCTCAAATCCTTTGCAGCATTTTTCCTTTATTGGCAGATTTTACCTTAAATTAGCAGAATTTCACTCTAAATTGGCAGTTTTTACTTTTAGTTAGCAGATCAATGCCTTGTATTTCTAGTTCTATGCCTTGTATTTCTTTTTAGTGATTCTAAGGTCTCAGGCTCTTTGGCAAAATCGATGAGAATATTGCCAATCGCTTCTTAAAAACCTTAGCTAGCAACAATTGCTAGAATAGTGCTAAAATGTAGATGGAGATGGCTATAGAAAGCATAAGTGAGTTAGAGCGGAAAAATCAAAGCCCAAGGCGTTGCGACACTTCAAAGTAGATCCTGTCTTAATATTTATGAGACCTTTTATAAGCAGGTTGAATCTATGTGGGTAGAGGTTATGTGAAGGAGGACCTATACCTTGTATTTCTAGTTCTATGGTAGTGGATATGTGAAGGAGGACCTATACCTTGTATTTCTAGTTCTATGGTAGTGGATATGTGAAGGAGGACCTATACCTTGTATTTGAGGATATCCTCACCGACAATACCAACTTCAGGGTTACCAACAAGATAGAGTTCCACACTATACCACAGGTCAAACTAGTAGATTTTTGGTAGATTTATCACATTATACCACAGGTCAAACTAGTAGATTATTGGTAGATCTACCACATCATACCACAGTTGAGTTTATTAGGTTATTGGTAGATATACCACATTATACCACAGATCAAACTTGTAGATTATTGGTAGATATTCCACATTATACCACAGGTCAAACTAGTAGATTATTGGTAGATATACCACATAATACCACAGGTCAAACTGGTAGATATACCACATTATACCACAGGTCAAACTAGTAGATTATTTTGGTAGATCTACCACACTATACCAGTACCACAGATAAAACTAGTAGATAATTGGTAGCTCTACCTCACTATACCACAGGTAAAACTAGGAGATTATTTATAAATCTACCACATTTTGTCACAGGTCACAGAAAAATCACTGGTGCCGGGATTTCCAAAATGTGGTCTACTTTCTTGTGTGCTGTCAAAATTAGCAGTGATTTGAAGACTCTTGTTTATTAGACAGTTTTGGTCATATTTTATGCATTCAAATCTTGTTTATTAGACAGTTTTGGTCATATTTTATACATTCAAAACTTGTTCATTAGACAGTTTTGGTCATATTTTATACATTCAAATCTTGTTTATTAGACAGTTTTGGTCATATTGTATACATTGAAATCTTGTTTATTAGACAGTTTCGGTCATGTTTTATACATTCAAATCTTTATTTCTTCGATAATTTCGTCAGAATCAAAAAACAACTTTTGANAAATCTTGTTTATTAGACAGTTTTGGTCATATTTTATACATTCAAATCTTGTTTATTAGACAGTTTTGGTCATATTTTATACATTGAAATCTTGTTTATTAGACAGTTTCGGTCATATTTTATACATTCAAATCTTTATTTCTTCGATAATTTCGTCAGAATCAAAAAACAACTTTTGAAATTTATAATTTAAAATTGTTTAAACAATTATCAGGTTTTTGAGATGCCTACTGCATATTGTTCAAATCCTAGAGAAAAAAACTAAGCTGGCGAACATCTACAGGCCCAAGGGTCTAATGCAAGGAAAGTTAATTGCAGTTGTGTATACTCTGCGTACATATTGAAAACAGTTCTCTCTGGGAGGAATTTGTAAACAAAAATAGATGCATCAGTGTTTAGTATCCGAGGTTAAAGTCATTAAATTTGATAATTTTGATAATTCACATTATAGTTTCCTATAGATTCCTAGACCAGAATATTTCATTAATTTTTTTATGTGAAAAATGGATCCAATGTCAGGCTTTGACATCCGTTTTGTGTTTACATTACCGCCCAGAGACAGTACATTGCAGTACAAAAGATGCGTATACTTCTGAAATAACTTTCTTTGCATTACATCTTTGGACAGGCCCAGTTTATACATTGTGACCTATAACACTGTGGAATAAAAAGCCAACTGGTAGACGTGATATAATTTCTTGATAATAATCTCACTTAATTATTTTATTTTTAATCTTTTCGTTAAATTATTCGTTAAATAGCATAAGATTGCTTAAATGTCGTCTTCCAATTCTACAGTTTTATGGGTCCAACTTTAGGATCTGTTAGGAATAATTAACATTTGTCTCCTTAGATTGAATTGGCGTTGACAAAGCTAGGGGTATTCCATGCAGTTGGATATGCTATGAAGTTCTCTGGCATAAAGGGAGAATAGTTTATCATATGAAATTGATATGTTAGTTATTTATAAAATTTTGATAAATTGTTAATTGCATTTAATATTTATCAATTTTTCCAACAGTATACTCGGCAGTAAAACTGTGATGCATTCTCCAGTGCTAATATATTTGATCTCGTAAAGTAAAAAATTTTTTCATTGTGGAAATTTGTTTTTCCCCAGTATACAATATACAGTAATAAACATAAAACTCTGGAATAGGAAGTCGACTTTCAAAATCAAGTTATAACTTTAAAAAGTCTAATGAGCATAAAACATAGTAATTGTGCAGTGTAAACAGACCCATTTCACTTTTAGTAATTTAATAAGTGAAAATTTGCTTTGGAACAACATCAAATTCACAATTTCTATAATGTAGTCTTCCATTTCCATTGTTTACTGACCATCACTGTAGGAGGAACAAGTGAACCGCGCTTATCCAATTCTATCAAAATGATCGATATATTGAACTTTTTTTATATATTGTGCTCTCATTAAGACATATTTAGCTCTCATTTAGACCGAGTCCGAATTTAATGAATTTGAGCCGCGTCTAGAATCCGCCAACAACCGGTTTCAATTAAACGCCGACTTAAATCTTGAAACATTGAATACATTTTAGTGGAACCAACCATATTTGAACCAGGTCTCAAATTCTTTAAATTCGGCCTCGTGTCATTTAATTTTTAATTTAAGGTTTTTTCCAACAATACTTCAGTAATTTTTTTGTTTCACATGATACATCTGTTTCAAGTTTTCTGAGAAATATCCAGAGTTAAAAGAACAGCTTTGGAACCCNCAAATCTTGAAAGGACGTCAGTCCCCTCCCCATGAAAAAAAAATAAATCTAGCATTTCTAGGGGGTTTTCATGGCCCTACGGGTGCTGATCCCCCCCTGGACAAATTCCTGTGTACGCCCCTGACTGCTTATAAGTTTACATGTTCCTGTTAAGAGAATGGTTAGATGGTTTACTTCTTCTCATCACAAGTGTTCTTGAAGAGAACGCTAAAGGAAACCCTGTTTTGGCAAAAACCGGTTTTAAAACCAGCTTGTCAGCTGATAAGATGGACGCAGTGCGGAAATATTCAAGGTCAGTGAAATGGTTGAAAATATTGCACCAGAGGCCGAATTTAAAGAAATTGAGCCGCGGTTTAAATTTATAATAATTATGGTTGGATTCACTTAAAATTGTATCAAATCTTCCAAGATTTAAGCCGGCGCTCAATTTAAACCGGGTTTTGGCGGATTTAAGCCGCGACTTAAATTCTTTAATTTCGGCCTCAGGTATCAGTATCATGCTTACACTGAAGTAAGGGGACTGTTAGCGTAATTTCAATTGACCCCCCATGCAACGGTATCCTTGTAACTTTTATCCGTTTTTCTAGGTTTAAACATGTTTAATTCTCATAATTCCTACGTGTTTTCCTGCAGTAGAAATGCGTAAGGCGCTTTTACAGAGACACTACAATAGAAAAAAATCAGTATTAAATATTGATATCTAATTGATACTTGATTTCTACGGAGTTATGGTTTATTGATTATTTATGGATCAGACAAAGCTAGTTAGGGTACTGTTGTGAATCAGGTATAGCCATCATGGCAAGGAGAGTCATTTAAACTACGCTTACAGTCCCTTTTTTATACAAAAACCCTATTTTTTTTAGTAGTATTCCATTTACCAAAAACATTTAAAACTGCAAACAAAATGTTAGGGCTTTATGAATTTGTTAGATATACCTAAATTTCTATTAAAAGTTTCGAACAAAATCTATTTATATACTTTGCTTGTCTGTATGTTTGTTTGTCTTTTTCTATCCAAAAGTTTGTGAGATATACCTAAATTTCTATTAAAAGTTTCGAACAAAATCTATTTATATACTTTGCTTGTCTGTATGTTTGTTTGTCTTTTTCTATCCAAAAGTTTGTGAGATATACCTAAATTTCTATTAAAAGTTTCGAACAATATATATATATATACTTTGTTTGTCTGTTTTATCCAATAAACGACTGAACCGATCGGGCCCAAATTTTGTGTGGGACATTACATGACCCCACAGGAGATATATGGATGATCAAGTTTTCAAAATTTTGCCTCTAACAAAATTTAATTTTTGTAAATTTAAAAAAATCGAAAACTTCTTTTTTATAAAATCTGCGAATTTTTTAGTTTGCTTCACAATGTATACAAAAAGAAAATGTTTACAAATGAAATAGAAGATGGGCAAGAAGCGCCCTGAAAGCCTAGTGGTCCAAATTTCGAATCGGTAGTTTGATAGTACGAACATAATTTTAGAAACTGTGCCGAGATAACTGAGCTGGCGATGCTACCAGTGGAACCTCTGGCTGTGCTGACCCATGGAGATTTCCACATGTGGAATATGGCATTTCACACAAATATGCGGGAAGGACAATATTAAATTGATAAAATATCTTATCCACTATCCAGTGGGCAGTGACCCAAAAGTTTTAAAGCAAATTCTTTTTTGTCTAAAAAATCAAAAAAAAACTTACTGACTTATGTTCACAATCGATCATGGTTGAAAAAATGTTGTTCTGGAAATTTTGACTTGAACTTTAGTTTAATATAATCCGGTTCAATGGGATTAAAATATTAAATCTAATCCGGTTCAATGGGATTAAAATATTAAATCTAATCCGGTTGTATGTGCAGAGAGATTAAACTGTTTGATCTTCAAGTAGCAAGATATTCCTCTCCTGCTGTAGATATTATACAATAACTTTCTCAAGTATATATTGTAATAACCAATTAACTTCAAAATTGCCTAAATAGGTATCAACAGCTGCTGAGCGCCTGGAACATTTGGAAACATTTCTAACAGTTTATTTGGAAAGTCTGAAAAAAACATTACAAGGTAATGAAATCATATTAGAACAAGTATAGAACGGAATGAAAGTCGTCTTTACTTGATTTTTATAAGAAGCAAAGAGGAGTTTCGCGCAGTCGGCGTAGAACACACTCTCTGTCTTGTAATTCTACTCCGACTTCGCGAAACTCCTCTGGGCTTTTGCCTCAGGGTTATTGTGAACGGGTTTCCTCCAAATCTTGAAAGGACGACATCTAGTGTCATATCTGTTATTTTGATTAATCTTTGTTTCTAATATTTGACGGAAATCTCTGAAAATTTTCAAGTCACATTATTCTTAGATTTAAAACAGAAACATTTTTAAAAATAAATCCTTTAAGGAAACACAATTGACTTCAACAACAAAAACAGTTTTTAATTCCACTTTTATGCGTTATTTCTAAATCAGATTGATAAAGTATTTGTTCAAAATATAGTTACATAATATTAGATAAACATTAACCTTTCAACAACATCTCTGTAAGAGAACGTATTCTCTACCTTGTTTTCCATTTACTAGTCTTATTGTTGACAAAACTAAATAATGTATTGTCTCATTAGATCTTGGATATCAAATAATGTATTGTCTCATTAGATTTGGATATTAAATAATGTATTGTCTCATTAGATCTTGTATATCAAAAAATGTATTGACTCATTAGATCTTGGATATCAAATAATGTATTGTCTCATTAGATCTTGGATATCAAATAATGTATTGTCTCATTAGATTTGGATATTAAATAATGTATTGTCTCATTTAGAATTTTGATTTCAAATAATGTATTGTCTCATTGAGATCTTGGATATCAAATATTGTATTGTCTCATTAGATCTTGGATATCAAATAATGTATTGTCTCATTTAGATCTTGGATATCAAATTTCCTCGGAGTTTACTCAGGTAAAGTATAAATGCACATTTTTATTTCTTCAATTTTTTTAAAAAGTTTTTGTTAATTTTGTAAAAAAAAAAAACTTGTGGAACAAATCATTAAAAACAGGCAAAATTGGACATTTTCCATTTCCATCTAGAAAAATAAAACTTGTCAAATTTCTCAATAATTTGAAATCTTTTCTAAACAAATATTCGTATTGGGTAATTTTAAACTATTTTTGAGTTTTCTTTTTAAGGAGAATTTGGCTGCTGAGTACAGACGAGTTGCAGGATTTGGTTTTCTCTTGAGCACTAGATGGTTGCCGGGCAGATATATAGATAATCTGGACCAGGTAGTGCGTACACAAAAATCAGCTGTTTTTTTACAAAACTTAGTTGTTTTACACTTAAATCAGCTTTTTTACACTTAAATAAGCTGTTTCATCAAATAATTGACTGTTTTATACAAAAATCAACTTTTTATTAAATACAAATTAGCTATTTTATAAAAAAAAATCAGCTGTCTTACACACAAATTAGCAGTTTTACAAACAAATAATAATTAGCTGCTTCATAAAAAAAATGAATTTTGAACAAATTTGTTAGGAAGATTTTCTTGCACCAGTTATAGAAATTTTACAAATTCAGTATTTAATAAAAATAAAGAATACGACATTCTGTCCACAATAATTAGGTAACCACTTTAATTTTAGTGTATTAAATTGGTGCAAAAGAGAGAGAAAGAAAACTCTTCCGAGGCTGAAGATATCATTAGGAATGGAAATTGTAAAATTGTTGTCCCTAGGGATAGAGTAAAATCAATTATTGTTATTCAAGTCAAAATTGGATACATTAAATCAAACTTGATATCCTCTGCTACATGTTTAAATGAGAGCAATATACACTATACAGGGTGTCTCACAAAACATGACAGGAGCAAGACGACTTAAAAGTTTTCTTTGATCTTTTAATCTATTTGTTATATTTAGCCGTCAGCCTACTTAAACATGTATGATTCTTTAAACAACAGCAAAAAAATTCATTGCATTTCCAAAATGTGGTCTGCCTTTTTTGTGGTGTCAATATTACCTGAGATATGAAGAATTTCAATCAGATTTTAATTTTTTTAATTTTGAACGATATTCTTCGTATCACTGATAACATCGAAAGCACAAAAAGGAAGACAACATGTTGGATACCAAGGCTAGGGATATTTTGTGATAATAAACTTCATAATTCTACTTTAAAGCTGATGTTAACGAATAAATGTCGCAAATTATTTAGGGCCTATAAAGAAATAAATCTAGGGTGGGGACCCTCCCTAGGTCCTACTAGGGGGAGGCAAACTTAGAACCGTAAATTCAAAACATTTGGCTTCCTAGACTAAAGGTACATATACAGTCCAATTACCTTACACTTACAACTTTATCTCTCAAACAATACTAGCAGAGAAAAACATGTTTTTAAAAAATCTATATTTTATTGTATGTTCTCTACGTATTTATGTTAGAGAAACAGGGTGTCCCACGAAAAATGACAGTTGGTGAATAGTATAAAATGTCTTCTTCCATATATTCATAAGTTACTTGATACTAAAGAGACTAATAACATTTATTATATGACAGTAATATTATAGTAATATTGATTTCACATGAAATATATATGAGTTAAACATTTTTTAAAGAAATAAACTGCAAAAAGTCTTAAATATCTAATATAGTATATGGAAGAAGACATTCAAAACTATTCACCAAGTGCCATGTTTCGTGGGACACTCTGTATGTTATTTTCTTCATTTAAAGGAACTTTAAGAGTAATTTCAAGTGACCTTCTATGCAAAGATAGATATGGCATTGTCTGATTTACAACGATGAAAGATTTATCTGAATTAGAAACTAATGTTTTTATTGGCGGGTTCTATGTGAAAGTGGCATGTGCCTTCCTTAATTGTTCATAAATAAACACGTTTCGAGTCAAAAACAACGGTTTCTTCCACATTTTTGATCAGAGTTAGATTTCAGTGATACCGTTGTGAATCGGGCATTATTATCTTTGCATGGAGCCAGGGTCACTTAAAAATACGCTTACAGTCCCTTTAACATTGAAAAAATTGAACAAATCCAACTTCACAGTTTGTTGAATGAGTCAGGAGACCAAGGATGGTGGATTCTTCAAGTTCTTTGTGAAAACATTCAAGAAGCATTCCAACTCGGCACAATCGCGCATTATCCTCACTAGAAGGGGGTGATTGGTGACAAAACAAGACAATTTGATCGCAACTCAACTTAATAAACAGACCCTTTAAACTGAAATATTCTAACAGATTCAATTGCGGTGGTCTAACCGAAGCAATTCATACGCAGTGATTCAAAAGTTGCAAACTCTCGCCCAAAATCCGATTCGACTTTTGCCAATTACTTCATAAAAGCTATAGAGCTAAAAACAAGTGCTTTAAAGTTCTAACAATTAACATGTCTATTGTGTAGGGCGACAAAAAACGTAGTGAGTTAGTAAGGTAAAATCGCAAGAAAAAGCATTGCAACACTTTTATAATTACATTATAAATATTCATAGTCTAGATCTCTGTACATACATGATACATATTCATAGCTGTCTAGATCTCTGTACATACATGATAAATATTCATAGCTGTCTAGATCTCTGTGCATACATGATACATATTCATAGCTGTCTAGATCTCTGTACATACATGATAAATATTCATAGCTGTCTAGATCTCTGTGCATACATGTTAAATATTCATAGCTGTCTAGATCTCTGTACATACATGATAAATATTCATAGCTGTCTAGATCTCTGTGCATACATGATAAATATTCATAGTTGTCTAGATCTCTGTGCATACATGATAAATATTCATAGCTTTCTAGATCTCTGTACATACATGATACATATTCATAGCTGTCTAGATCTCTGTGCATACATGATAAATATTCATAGCTGTCTAGATCTCTGTGCATACATGATACATATTCATAGCAATCTAGATCTCTGTGCATACATGATAAATATTCATAGCTGTCTAGATCTCTGTGCATACATGATAAATATTCATAGCTGTCTAGATCTCTGTGCATGCATGACACATATTCGATTGTCGTGTTCAAAGATGTAATGCATTACAACCTTGGTCATGTTTAAATTGTTACGTGTAGTTGGACAAAAAACAAAACAATTTTTTACGTTAAAAATAAATATTTTTATTCATTATGCACTTAATACTTTTCTTATATGTATTTGTAAATATTTTATTTGATATCATTTAAATAAAAAAATAAGAAATACAGTTAAATTGTATGTTTTAGTTACTTTTAAAGTTTTGATTATTTCATTAATTCAGTAAAACATTATTCTAAGCCTTAAATCGACGAAAAAAATATATCAGAATTATATTAAAGAACACATGATAAAAAGTCTTGAAATTATCAAAAAATATATCAGAATTATATTAAAGAACACATGATAAAAAGTCTTGAAATTATCAAAAAATATATCAGAATTATATTAAAGAACACATGATAAAAAGTCTTGAAATTATCAAAAAATATATCAGAATTATATTAAAGAACACATGATAAAAAGTCTTGAAATTATCAAAAAAGTGTTCGCCACAAGACACACAGTTATTACTATTCACTTTTTTTAAATATCTTGTGGAGTTCATGGTCTGCAGACTACAGGCTGCAGTACTGTGTGTACTGCAGCCTGATTTTAGAACAATCCATTTTAGTATATAAACTCATTGTATATTATATTTAATACAGTATTCTACATACTGTATTTTTGACTATTTTTTATAACCCTTTGAACATTTTTTTACGAAAAAACATATTAAAAATACCCACTGTTTAAAGATACGATGAAACATATCAAAAATACAACTGTTTAAAGATACGATAAAACGTATTAAAAATACCCACTGTTTAAAGTTACGATAAAACGTATTAAAAATACAGCTGTTTAAAGATACGATAAAACATACTAAAAATACAGCTGTTTAAAGATACGATAAAACATATTAAAAATACAACTGTTTAAAGATACGATAAAACGCATTAAAAATACAGCTGTTTAAAGATACGATGAAACGTATTAAAAATACAGCTGTTTAAAGATACGATAAAACATATTAAAAATACAGCTGTTTAAAAATACGATAAAACGCATTAAAAATACAGCTGTTTAAAAATACGATAAAACGCATTAAAAATACAGCTGTTTAAAGATACGATAAAACGCATTAAAAATACAGCTGTTTAAAGATACGATAAAACATATTAAAGATTCCCACTGTAGATACGATAAAACGCATTAATAATACCCATTGTTTCAAGATAAGATAAAGTTCTATGTTGCAATTTTCACGTTAAATAGTGCAAATTTTCGTTCATGTGCGCTCTTTGAACTTTAAGAACATGTTATGGTGCATACTTTTTATTGTTCATAATGTTTTCAAAAATAAGCCATTTAGAGGAAAGATTGAATTTATTTTTGGGGAAAATAAGTTTAGCAGTTTACATTTTAAGGAATCGTCATTATTTCAGTTTAAACTTTAACATAAAGTTCTATATATATACTTTTGCTCCGTGACGTCGCTGGATTTTTGAAAATTACAATTTCAATGCACTGAATTTATTATTTACAAACGTAATAACTGCCGGAAGACTCAAATGCTGTAACATGGAAAACCGTACGGTTGTACGGCTCATGGCTGCCGGAAGACAAAAAGGTAATATGTGGCATGGCCGGAAGGGAAAATGTTGTGGCTTACGACCGCCTGCCTTCCCCCACTCTCAGGGATTTTAAAGAATAGAACTAATGTCAGTTTATTGAAAACATTGGTTCATTTGAAGTGCTACTTTTAAGCCGGAAAGATAAAAAATATGTATATATAAATCATCCAATTCAGGGGAAGAAAGTTTCAAACCGTGATTTGGCCAGGACCTCGTGAGTGTTAGGTTTGGGCCAAATGTGAAAATTTATCTTTTTAACTGTAAATATTTTTCAATTTAGATCGAGAAGTCAAAAACTTAAAATAATTAAAGATAAAAATGTAAATCATACATTCTGTTCAGATATTTCAAAATAAATTCACTTTTAAAATTGAAAAAATCTAATATTTACATTTTGTTCTTACAATTAAATTCAACAAAAAATGCGGGAAATTTTTTATAAAAGCTATTCTGTAAATTACAGAAAAGAGCGTTTTGTTCTGAATTGATGATATATAAATTTGGCTTGTCTAACTGTCTGTCTGTATCCAATAAACGTCAAAACGGCTGAACCGATCGGGCCCAAATTTTTTGTGGGACATCACGTGACCACGGGGAAGGCTTATGAATGATAAAAATTTTAAAAAATGAGTCTTAAAGGTTTTTAATTTTGTAAAAAATTGAAATTCTTGAAAAACCGCGATTTTTTTTTTTAAATCCGCAAAATTTTTTTCTTCTTTGTTTTAAAATGTAAACAAAAGGAACATGTTCACAATTTAAATAGAAGATGGGCGCGAAGCGCCCTAAAAGCCTAGTATTTCCAAATTATGGATTGTTTCCAAAGTTGGTTTATGTTCCAAAATGCGACCAAGATTCAAATTCTTGGTATGTGGGAAAATTGAAAATTTTGAATTGTTTCTAAAATGGTATGAGTTTTTATTAAAAATGAATGATCATTCGCAATTTTGTTTTTGGAAAAGAAGTAAATAGTGTTAATTGTAGTTATCGTTGTGCTTTATTATACGTTAGAATAAGTTTTTTTAATTGATATTTGCTATTAGCACAGGAAGAGTTACTAAAACGTTAATCATATTATTTGTGTCCAAACCTGAAACTAGCGTCAGGTTTGGAACATAGGCACGATTTGAAACTCTCTTCCCCTGCAATTGCTTATAAGCAGCTAGAATGGTACACCAAATGAATAATTTTCTATTGAAAGAAACATCGAACTCATTGAAAACGTTTTGGACATTCTGTTCATTTTGCAAGAAAATACGATCGGAATTTGCAATGCAATGAACATTTCATAATATTTTAGGTAATTCAATATGACGAGACAGGAATGTACAGTGAACCCCCTAATAACGAATACATCGAAAGAATTTATCAAATGTTGTCTTGACAATTTTTCAATGAGTTTTATACTTTATTACGTAAATTTCAGTATTTCCGAAAATAAATAAATAGCCATGAATATGCGGGAACAGTTTTAAAGAGTTCCATATAATCATTTAATTAAAAAAACTAAATATCTACAACATTCCATTAGCAGAAAGTGAAGAATACGACATTTGATGAATTCTTTCGATGTATTCGTTATTAAGGGTTTCACTGTAGGGTTTGATTTTCCAGCATCGCAGAATAACAATTTCTTATTGAGATGTTATTGTGTTGCATACTTATAAAACAGGGAACAAGAATAAAGTGAATGGAAATGGCGCTGGTCTGGCATGAGAAAGCCCGTAGCACAGCTTTGCAGACGGGTTCCTTATTACACACGAACACTCTTTTGGTACAGACACACATGATGTATCCGCCTCCTGGTACAAAACCTGATTGCTTTATCTTGATATCCAGTGTTGGCACTTTTAATGTGAGAATCATTAAAACTTTACCTTTCCAAATACATTTTTTGCATTGAAATTCTACAACAACAAACATCAGAAATTAATTCAACACCCCTGTGTGAAGTACATTAAAGCAATACGTTTTTACAGCTAGTACACAAACCAGTTTCAAAAGATTTGTTTACAAACATTAAATACTGTACATTTCACCATCTCTCTCTTACCTCAGTTGAACCAAAGTAGGTGAAAGTAATTATCTATCAGGTTCACCGTGTTTAATGGTTAATGATGTTGATTGTTATTTGTTATTCAATATAATTTATCTGGATGGCTTAATTACTGTAATTAACGGGTTTTATAGAGTTATTTTAGTTATCCTCATTGCAAAGAAAACAATGCCAGATTCACAATAGAACCCTTGAAACCTTTATCTGATTAATGATGTGGAAGATATTTTCGGTTTTCCAGGTTAAAAGTAATTAATTCTGATAATTTCTGCACGTTTCCTGCATTTTAACTGTGCATATCAGAAACCCCAATTGAAAATAATCAGTTTTCAAATTCCTTTTCTCTCGAATTAACAATTCATTTTTTTGGAATTAACTCCTCAATTCAAAATAGACCTATTTTCTCCAGAAAGGACTTTTCTGAAAGATGAATGATTCCTTTTCTCCAGAAATGAGTCCTTGAAAATTGACCCCTGTTTTCCTGAATTTAGAAGAGACTCTTTTTCATTAAAAACTTTTTTTTCTATAGAATTTTATCTAGGAATTAATGCATAAGAAGCTCAAATTTTTGTCCTTAAACATAACTGTTTATTCCCACTTTTCTTGTAATAGTTATTTTACTTCTTTTTTCTGTACGCATTACACTTCAAGGTTACTTTTGTTTTCAGGTGCAAGCTAAGATGTTGGGAAAGATTTTGTGTTTCTGCATGGTTGTACAGGGACAAAAAGCAAATGTAAGCTTTTAAGTACATTTTTTAACCCATCCCCTCTACCAGTTTTTTCCCTTTGAAGAAGTCTTTTGGTTTGCAATAAAGCTAAGATTTTTTTAAACTTCAATGTAGCCTATTAACTGAATTTTGGAATTGCAACGCAGCAACTATTATTAAAACATGATTTAAAAATGTACATAACGATTTTAAGTGTCTTCCTAATCAAGGATCATAAACTTTTTATTTTATTTCATGAGCAAAATTGGCTTATTTTGGAAAAACTTTTATGGCAAAGTTTTTAGTATTTAAGAGATAATGAATGAATTAAATTGGTTAGGAGTCGGCAGAAAGGAGAGATTTCCGAGGAGCCAGGAGCTACACCTATCCTCCACAGACAATGTCAGAAAGGCAAGGTGGACCCATTCCTGACTATGCACCATACCCCTCAGCTAGTGGAAACGGAGCACAAGCCTATAATCCGTATGCGTTGAGCCAACCATGGAATCCTTACTCATTCCAGGCGATGAAGCCTGCAGAACATCCATCAGAACCTAATCCTGATAGTCAGTATTCATCCCCACATTCAAGTAAAGGAAACTCTCAAGCCCATCACACTGCATGGTCTCCAGCTCCCCCTGCTAGTCAGGCTCAATGGCCTTCAGGATCGCAGATGTCTGCGCCGTGGTCGAGCCCTACTCATCCTCCAGCACATAGTGGATACAACCCGTGGGCATCTGCTCCACAAGGAGCTTCTTCTCATTCATACCCGCCACCATCTGCCACTTTCCCTCATGTTTCTTCTTATCCCCCTCCTTCTCAGACCTTTTCACCTCCTTCTCCAAAATATCCTCCTAAGAATCCATCAAAGATTCCAGGTAAATTCTTGCAGTTCTTCAATATACTCTTAATACCTATACAAAGAGTGTTACCTTTAAAACCCATAAGACGGTATGCCACATTGATATCCAGTGTAAATTGTTGAAATGGCTGGCTGTTGGAGGTTTCCAAGAGCTTTTTATTTGACACTGTAAAATAATCCTCAGAAGTAAAACTAAATGCATTAGAAGGTTTTTCATATTTGATTTTTATCATTTAGAATCCTGTCTGTACTGTCCTGCATCTGCCTCCTTTAAAGGATATGAACAGATTTATAATGTCAGGTATTCGTACGCATCATTTTCACTAGTCGCCGAATCGTCTCATACTTAAGGGTTTTAAGACATACTTTATATGTCTCCTTACTCTCATTGCCTGTGGCTGTTAGATGTTTGAGTATAGGTGTCCACACATTAAATTTCACTGTACTTTCCATTTTATTTTGCTGACTGTACTTTGGACTGAGACAGTCAGTGACCTCACATGTTAGTAACCCGCATGGATGGGACAACCTGGTCCCCAGCCATTCCTATTTATACTGTAACTTCTCTCATACATACTCATAGCTCTTAATAAAGTTCTTGATTTAAGAGATGTGAATGCTGCAAATATAGATGTAGTTGCTGGGATTGGCGGATCATTTTTAGGTAAATTTCTTATTTGAAATGGTTTGGGAATCAACGGCTTATTTGGTAATACAAGAAAAGACTGAAGTAGTTTTTTTGTTCAGATGATTTTAACAATAAAGTACCCATATGGGAATGGTTTTAATTCTGTCTGATGCTTAGCTTTCACCATTAAAAGATGGCGCTCATTTAGAAGAAAAATAGCTTTCACCATTAAAAGATATGGCGCTCATTTAGAAGAAAAATTTGCAAGCTGCAACATTAAAATAAAACTGTAATTTGATGAATCCCGAAAAGAGCATTTATGGCCAGTTAATCAGAATTTTTATTTTTCACTCATCCACACTGATATCAGTACATAGTTTAACTTCTTCTTGTTTGTTTTTTCGTTCTCTGATAAATTTTGAAATAGCTGGGACTGCTTTGGATGAAGATTCGGAAATAGGCTCTGGTTGGTGGATGGATACTCAGGATAGATCATTTGCTCTAGGTTAGTATTAACATAGGATAGATGGATACTCAGGATAGATCCTTAGCTCTAGGTTATAGGGTGGATGGATACTCACGATAGATCCTTTGCTCTAGGTTAGTATTAACATAGGATAGATGGATACTCAAGATAGATCCTTTGCTGTAGGATAGTGTCATCATAGGATGGATACTCAGGATAGATCATTTGCTTTAGGTTAGAATTGACATAGGATAGATGATACTGATGATAAATCCTTTCCTCTAGGTTATTATTAACTTAGGATAGATGGATACTCAGGATAGATTCTTTTCTGTATCCTATAGGATAGTGTCATCATAGGTAGGGTAGTTAAATGTTTTTTGTTTCGTTTTCCAATCGTTTTCAAAAACGATAGTTTCGTTTTTGGGAAAAAACAATCTTTTTTAAAAAAGACCCACTCGTTTTGAACTTTTAGAAAACTTTTAACGATAGTTAACGAAGGGTTGTCGTTAACGAACCGACAAACTTTAATAAAAACTGTCATTTTTGGAAAAACTATCTTTTTTGAAAAATAATTGCATGCAACTTTATTGAATGTCGTCTTACATGAAGTTAAAAAGTTGTGGGGAGCTAAAACTTCTTGATATTTTCTTAAACTACTCAATGATAAGTACAGATGCCCATCAGGTCGGTTTCCTCTCTTCGTTATCGAAGGGTCGTCGTTAACGATCGTTAACAAATGGTCGTCTTTACCGATCGTTAACGAAGGGTCTGCGTTAACTATCGTTAACAAAGGGTCGTCGTTAACAATCGTTAACAAAACGACGATTTTTATAAAAACGATTGTTTTGAAAAACGATCGTTTTTAATAATGATCGTTTTTCAAAACGATCGTTTTAAAAATGAACATTTTTAAAAAACGAACTTTTTAAAAAACGATTGATTTTCGACTTTTAGTTGTCGTTTTCATAAAGAAACTATCGTTTTTCAAGAAAATGAAAACGATAACATCCCTAATTCATAGGATAGTTACTCAGGATAGACCCTTTGCTGTAGAAAAGTTTCATCATAGGATGGATACTCAGGATAGATCCTAAGATCTAGGTTGTATGAACATAGGATTTATGGATATTTATGATAGTTCCTTTGCTCTAGATTAGTAATAAGGATTTTTTTTTTTTTTTTTGCGGAGACGTCGTTTATATTCTTTGGAAACATGATTTGAATTTTAGATTGATTTTTGACTTAAAGCAAGTTTAAAATTAATGTTGCCCACTTCTTAAATTTTATTATCAATATTTTTAATTTTAATATTTATCCAGGTGGACTTAAAAGTTGTCTGCAGCACTTAACCTTCGCCAACCTTCTGGAAACTTTGAATCCTAATTTGCGAGGAGTTAATTTTGGTAAATTTGTTATCAATTTTGGAATTCAATAATTCAACACATTTTTTAATTTGGTTTGGTCGGAACCTTAGATTCACTTAAGATATCCATCTTTCATCATTAACTTTCCCTGATAAATGATTTTTGTCGCTTATGAATATCTAACTATTTTTTTTTTTTTGGGGGGGGGGTTCGGTTGTTTTCATGCAGAATTAAAAACATTTAGATTTTTTATCAATAATAGAATTGTAATATTGTTATCTTGCATGATTATATATAAGTGTTTTTCCTTATATATTAAGAGATTTAATTATTTTTAACGTTATTATGAAGCAGTGCATTATTATAGATATAATTTTAGATGAAAGAAATGATTTTTTATCAATAAAAGAATTGTAATATTGCTATCTTGCATGATTATATGTCAGTATTTTTACTTATATATTAAGAGATTTTATTATTTTTAACGTTATTATGAAGCAGTGCATTATTATAGATATAATTTTAGATGAAAGAAATGCCGGTTATCTGTTTGCATTTGGACCTTTTGCTGACACTTCTAACGAAGCACCTCTCACTTTAGATCCAAACGTATGTTCTTTTATTATTTGCAACTGTTGGTACTTTCACTAGATGGATATATGTTTCCGATTACAACTGAAAAAATTGTTATAATAAACTTGCTAAGACTGTCGTAAGCTGTCCTAAAAGATTTATGTTGAATGTCAATGAACGCTTCAGCTTATTAGTTATATTGTACTGAAAAGGGGCGTTTTAAGGCAAGGTTTTGAATCATAATTAATCAAATCCAATCCTAAAAAAACTATTTTGTGAAAGCATGTCATTTACAAGTGGTATGTGCAAATGCTACTCTTTATGAGGGTCAATTCTGTTAACAGTCCCTTTAACTATAAAGGACCCTGAGAGAACCCTAGTATCCGAGGCAGATCAGGTTGTGGATATGATGGAAATGGACTCGCAAATTTCTCCAGAACATTGGAAGGTTGGAGGAACTTTTTTAAATTATTAAAATGTTAATTAATTGAACTTGTTAAATCAATTGAATTTGGTTTTTTAATTTGAGTTTTGCTATTGAATCGAATTTAATTCAAGTTTTGTTGTTTAATTGAATTTTTAAATTTAATTGAATTTTCTATATTTCATTTAACTTTGCTTAATTGAACTTTTCATAATTGAACTTTGTAAATTAATTGAACTTTCTAATTAATTGAACATAAATTGTACTATTAAACTTCAAACTGTTTTTTTTTGTCAAATTTTTAAATTGATCAAATCTACGAGTTATGATCTTTATTGAAGTGTTAGTCTTCATGTTATTATAATTTTAGTTCTGTATTCAAGAAATTAGAAAAAAAATACACATTTTACTTAATAAAAATGGAAGCATTTTAGATCAGAAATAAATATCCCAGTTGCGCTAAATTTAATTGTTTTAGCTTGTGTTTGTCATGCCTAAGGAATACTATATATGCAGGGTAAGGTTGCATTCATTCTTTTTGTTCATATGTACTATGTAGTGTTTTTTTATATTTAGAATTTCATTTTAATTCAAACATACCGTTTTGTATCCGGTAGCATTAGGGTTTCCACGAAATGGCTAAATCTTTTGCGCAAAATTTGCGCTATTTTCGCGCAAATTTTATTTTTGCGAACTTTTGCGCTATTTTTGCGCATGAAACGCAATGAGTTTTGCGCGATTTTGCGCTATTTATTTTGCGCAATTTGCGCAAAACCGGAAATATTTTTTGCGAAAGTTGCGCATGAAACGAAATTTTAGTTTTGCGCAATTTTTTTGCGCACTTTGCGCAAAACCGCAAGTTTTACGCAAAATGTAACTTTTTAGGCACATTGTCAAAAATTGATTAAGCTTAGAATTAAACAACTGAAGATTTATTCCATATACAAAAAAAAATATTAACATACGAGTATGATAACGATTATACTACACTCAATTGCAGTTACTTCCAGTTTCAAAAAAGTTTAATTTAAGGGACCAAAATTAATAAAATAGAAATAGAGAGTGTGAAACTTGGCAATATTTTAATCCTTTTAAATAATTTCAAGTGACCCTTAAAAGCTTTGCCTAATCAAGTATGAATTGTATTCTTAAATTTTTTTAAAATCAAATTTCTGAAATCTTTTTAATCTCATATAAAATAATGCAAGAAAGTAACCAATGCCTGAAGAATCCACTTTTAGGAAATATGCATGTCCAAAACTAAAATTGTCGAGAAAATTGTGAGATTTGAACTCTTCTTAATTGTCATTGGTCAATTATGTAAAAGTGACCAATAGGAAGACATTCCAAAACAAGATTTTTCCAGAATTGAATTCTAAGAAACACACACCGTCACCAACCGTTTGATTTTTACGAAATTGCGGAATTGCGGATTTGCGCAAAACTCTTGTTGCGGAATTGGGCCAAACTTGAGTTTCGCAAAAGCGGAATAGGGCAATTTTGCGCGAAATGACTTTTGCGAATGATTGCGCAAATTGTTGTTTTTTCGCGCAAAATTGATGCGCAAAGAAAGAAAAATATTGCGTTTCATTCCGCAAAAATTGCGCAAAAGTTTTGCGAATGGAAACCCTAGGTAGCATACACAATAGAGTTTCTCATTGAAAGTTTTAAATTAGAATATTTAATTTTTTTCACAAGCTTATTTTCATTAGGCTTGTGCACTTTCGGAAGCTGACATTGAAATCGATCTTGAAGCATTTGAAACTGATTTCAAGAAATCTATAGATCGTCTGTTATCTCTGGAAAATGTGATTGTCGTCGTTATTCAATTTCCAGGTAATATAATTTGTAATGTCGTCTTTTTTCCGATTAATCGATTAACGGCATTTTTTTAGTGGCTGACTAGATTCACACCAATACCCTTAAAACCTTACATTAGCAAAAATGTTATTTTCTATTACTAAAAGTTATTCATGAACTCTCTTTAAAAATGAAATTATATCAATTCAAGAAAGAGAGATTTCTTAAAGGTTACCGTTGATTACAGGGTTCTCTTTAAAATGAAATTATATCAATTCAAGAAAGAGAAACTTTCGTTTAAGAGTTAGAGGGATTGAGTGTTGATACAGATTAAGTTGTGTCCGGATTGACATTGATACTTAAGTATTATTGAACGGAATAGTTCTTATGCCTCGTGGATAAACTAGAGGGATTGAGTTGTACCTGGATTGGTACGGATTTAAAGCTATTTAGTGGAGTAGGGTATTTACTGCAATTACAGTTGGCAATACACTGTTTTCAACGGTTAAAGCTGATGAATTAAACGTCTGTTAATAATTTTTGAAAACTATTATTATTACTGTAGGGATTTATCAGATTTTAACAGCTTTATAACCTCGAAAAAGGTTAATATCTTCATTATTTCCCAGACAAAGGTTAAGGGTACCGTTGAAAATCGGATATCTCCATCAATGCATGGAGGGTCACTTGAAATAAATCTTAATATTGAGAACAGTTGAATACCAACAACCAGACCTATATTTCTGTTTGGGAGCTTCACAATTTATATTTTTTTAATTTTTAGATTTGGGCAAGATATCGTCAGCAACTGGGTTTAGAGAATGTGACATGGTAGATTTAGGGTTTGCTTGTCCTTGTGTTAGAGAGACAGACTTCCCAGAGGTAATGTTTCCAATATCTCTACTTCAAAATGTCTGGACTTCTTTGTGAAAATGACATATTTTTTGCAAAACTTAAACTCGGAAAGTTCGATTCATAATCAGATGTGAAAGCTCACATTTTCAATTTTTATTTAAAATGTCAAAACGTGTTTACAAAAACTACATATTACTTGCAAAACTGAAACTCCTCATTCTATCTGAAAACTTATCAGTGTTCACTATTGAATGATAGGTATTCCCAATTTCAAAGTAGAAACAGGGAAATTTTAAACTAACAGAAGTCCGGGCTGATAAACCAGGACTTGAAACTCCGATCCACTACTGGAGTCTTAGGCCATCCCTGCAACTTTTGATTTGAAGGTTGAACCATAATCATAAATTTTATTTTGTTTTGCTAAAAAACAATCGGTTTAAGGAATATAAGATAAAAGACTAAATAAGCTGTGTAAGAGATCGTCTCTGAGCTCTGAAGTCGCATTCTTTCATTCCTTTTATAGATTTAATACTCAAATTTTTAGAAATGTTTTTTTAGAATGTTCAGATGTATGCGGAAAAGGTGGAGCAGGCTGTCAACAGTTACAGGTAGTGTTTCCAACCGGAATTCCGCTGCGCATAACTGTGTGGAATTAAAGGTCTCTTATCTTCAAGTTAAAAAAAATACAAAATTCGTAGAACCATTTTTTTCTCGTCTGTTCTTTTGGAGAAAAATGAGAGAAGAAATTATTTGCGTTCCGGGGAATCAAATAATAATAATAATAATAATAATAATAATAATAGTGAGTTGCTCAAAACTCTAATAAAAGTTAATACTTAGACAGGATGCATCTATACTAGTAGATCTCTGGAAGCATGCTGTTAATATGTTTATATTTAGAACTAAGTTAATATATATATAGGATGCATCTATACTACCAATAGATCTCTGGAAGCATGCTTTTTATATTTAGAACAAAACTACTGCATAGACAGGATGCATCTATACTACTAGTAGATCTATGGAAGCATGCTGTTGTTTATGTTTAGAACTAAGCTACTGCATAGACAGGATGCATCTATAATCTTGGTAGATCCATGGAAGGATGCAATTAATATGTTTGCTGATACAGATCTACTGGGTAAGTGGCATCATTTATTTTGTTTCTAGGTTTCTTAAACAAAATTTAGCTTCAAGATAGCTTACCGTGTAGTTGATAATTATTGAAACTCAAACCTACATTCATATGATTTGATTTGTTCGTTTCAAACTTAATCATTTGTTGTTGACAGTTGTGTAGGCAGTAAATCTAAAAAAACATGGAAAATGGAACAATAAACCGGAACAAAACCGGTGTCCGAATTTAATGAATTTGAGCCGCGGCTTAAATCTGCCAAAAACCGGTTTCAATTTAGCGCCGGCTTAAATCTTGAAAAATTTAATACTATTTTAAGTAGAACCAACCATATTTGAGCCTTTGATCAACTAAATCTAAGCGTGTAAGGAAAAAATTGTATTTTAACGATAGTTTTATTTTCCAAAAAACGTACTTTGTTCGTTTTAAGTTTCAAATTTCTGATATTATTACAAAAATAAATGTTAAATATTTATTTGTTTTAGCACCGAATTGTTTCAACTGGGGTGAAGACTTGACTGCAACAGGTAATCGTTTTCTACAGTCATGACCAGACAACTCTGAAACAGACAGTTTTCTACAGTCATGACCAGACCAACTCTGAAACAGGAAGCTTTCTACAGTCCTGTCCAGACAACTCTGAAACGGACCGTTTTTACAGTCCTGACCAGACAACTCTGAAACAGACCGTTTACTACAGTCTTGACCAGACCAACTCTGAAACAGGAAGTTTTCTACAGTCCTGACCAGACAACTCTGAAACAGACCGTTTTCTACAGTCTTGACCAGACCAACTCTGAAACAGGAAGTTTTCTACAGTCATGACCAGAGAACTCTGAAACAGGAAGTTTTCTACAGTCATGACCAGACAACTCTTAAACTGGAAGACTACTTTTAGTTACAACTTTAAATAGTCCGATGGGACACTCATTTGTGCATTTTCAACACCCATCTTACTAAACTAGCGTCTAGGAAATCTATTTGCCTTGTAACAACATCAAATACGCTTATGTTTTTCTGGAATGTCCTCTTCCTATACATTGTTTTCTTAAAGTATTTTTAATCTATAACTACTGATTTTTCAGATGCCTTAATTTTAAAGCATTCTTTTCTCCTGGAGTTTTGAATAAATTTGATTTTTTGAGCAATATTGAATTTTAAACATAAGACGACATTTTAATAAGCCTTTTCTGAAAATAATACAAAAAGTACAAATAATGGCTTTAATAACACTAAATGTCGTTGATAAGGCATTTATACAAACAAAATTCACTGTAAGAAAATGGCGTTAGTACAATTAAATGTCGCAAATTAATTTAACTCATGGCATACTTTATCAGCTGCTGCCTTGCTCTGGAATTCTGTATGGAGATCTTACAATGCTTACAATAGACAAGTTGGTAGGTCTTAGTTTTTTTTAACATTTTTCTAAAATTTGAAAATTTTTGTTTTGTAATTTGGATATCATTTTGTTAAATTAATATACATATACGAGGTATGTTTAATAAGTTTTGCGAATATTTTTTTTAAGGCGCTTTTAGATTTTATTTTTTAGCCGCTAATGTCGGATCAGATAATTAGTTTTCTTCCGGAGCCCGTTGACGTTGCTTGTAGAAACCTAAATATTTTGTCTGTAGACTCAAACTTTATCCATCTAAGCGTGTAAACGTTAAAAATTTCTTTTTGATTTGTATTCTTTTTCTACAGTGAATCCCAGATATATATATGTCGTATTCTCAGCTTATTTAAGATCAAATGAGAGTACGTTTGCTGTACGTTCTAACTTAAATCAAAACATGTTTTTATTTCATGCGATTTGTTTATTAATCTTATGCTAGTCTAAATCTACGAAGGGAGTTTTGTGTAGTTTCAAGTTACTTTCATGCAGAGATGGTAACGCTCGATTTTCCTTTTAAATTTGTGTATGAATTAGATATGCATGTTTGTTTTTAATTCATTTTCGTTCATATGTAAAAGTGACTTGCGGATAATTGTCTTGTAAGAAGCAATGGAGAAATTGTCAAAGTTATACGATAATTAAAAAACGACGTAATCTTGCACATTTTCAAGGGTACCGTTGTTAATCGGGCATTGATATCCCTTGCAGAATTTAAATTTATCTCGTCTTGTTGCTAGATTTAATCCTTGAGGAAGACGACATAGTTAATATTCTATAAATGTTTAGATGTCGGAAATCTGGATGGTGCTAATATAATTAGTGGAAAGAACTCTGAAAATCTACGCTTGGTCTGTCCTAACGGACCTTTGCTTAATAATCATCGTAATTAGTGAAATTTGTTTTATTTAGCGATATTTTATGTATATTTTATAGTGGAATTTTAGCTGATGTCTTTTAGATGAATTGTTAATAAATAGATCTCTTTAATCGTATTTTTTTTAACTGATTCGTACGCTTGTTTCCCTTTAATTTAAAACCGCTTCAGCATTAAAAAACATTTAAGCTATTATTTAAGGTTGAGCTAGTACATACGTAAAACATTTCACTTTTAAAATAGCCCTTAATCGGTGTTTTAGTATATTCAGAATGCTGGTCAAAAATAACGAAGCAAAATTTAATAAAATGGCAATTTTTTTCCAATTCGTATTTAGCATGGATGCATAAACATGGAAACGAGGAGAATTTGTTAATGAACTTTTTTCAACTTGTAATTCGAGGAAAGCTTGTAAAAATGCTAAAAATATTGCGTATAAGCTTAAATATAAATAGAAATTAGGCTCTCTGTTTGATCTAAACAACATTTTAATTTATGTCTAAACAAACTCCATTCAAAGTTTTTGATTCTAGAAAATGTCTAATTTTTTTATTTATTTTTGATAATGAATTAAAATGATTAATTTTGCAATTGCTGTATCTCTGTAAAAATAAGTTGCGGATCCATGCAGCAGAGACAATAGAGGAAAACTACAGAGTTTTAGATTTCTCAGATCTTTGATCAAATAAAAGTTCAAAGACATTGTAGTACACTGAACTAAGATGGAAGGCCGGAGAAGTTTAAAATATATTTGACAAGGAATACTAAATATTTTCTCACATTAGGTGACAGGTTTTCTAAGGTTAAATAAAAGAAAAATTATCACTATTTTCAATGATTTTGTTGGACACAAAAACTTGTGACGTAAGAATATAGGCGTTTGAAGAGTACAAATTCTACGTTGCTATCTATTGTACTAGAATCTATTTGGACCGCTTGCCTAAAACTGAAATTTACAAACCTTTGCTTTTTTAACTTGACTACTCGATCAAAATTTGAGGTTTTAATATCACTATAACAGGTAGATAAGATATAGGGAAATAAAGTAAGAATTTGAGGCAGGGATAATAAAGTAGGAATTTGAGGCAGGGATAATAAAGTAGGAATTTGAGGCAGGGATAATAAAGTAGGAATTTGAGGCAGGGATAATAAAGTAGGAATTTGAGGCAGGAAAATACTTTTAATTTCGATTAGTTTATCTGTTTCTGTTCTCTTCATTTACCTACCTATCTTCCGACCTACCTACCCTCTTTGATACCCACCTACCTACCTACCTATCTACCCTCAGATTCTGTATACCCACCTTCTTTCCTCCCTATCTACCTACCGTACTATTCATCTTTCCACATACACACATCCTTACCTACCTGACTGCCTACATATTTACCTTCCATCCACCTACCTTCCTACATACTCTACCTACCCACATATTCCTACTTTCCCATTTTTCTATATGTCTACCTACCTACCTACCTAACTACCTGCCTAACTACCTACCTTCCTACCTAACTACCTACCTACCTACCCACGTATCTTCCTATTTATCTATTTTTCTATCTACCTACCTACCTACCTACTTATCTATCTATATATCTATCTATCTCCTGCCTGTTTGTTTAGCCTGTATAAAGGTTAACGGGGTTAACATCAAATATGAAAATACTGTAAAAACATTGGAATTTTTACCAGGAGTTGACTTTATCTATCTAACTAATTTACTCTTTTAAATATTACTAAATCTATTTTTTGTCTTATATCTCTCGATCTATCTGCAAATCTAAATGTCTATTTAGTTTCCCATTTTACTGATCCATCTATCTACCTAACCAACTTTTTTTCTAACTTATCTTTTATCTATTTGTTAACCTGTCTATCTGTTCTTTTATCTTAATCATATCTTTCTGACCAACATACAAAAATTATTGAATTAAAAACTGACGCGAAAATTTCTATTCATATGACTGTCCAATTCCATCTGACTTTCAACCTGTCTGTCTATCTATTTTTCTATCTGCATGCCTATCCATCTATCTATCTATCTGCCTATCTATCTATCTATCTATCTATCTGCCTATCCATCTATATATCTGCCTATCTATCTGAATATTTATCTGCCTATATATCTGCCTATCTATCTATCTGCCTATCTATCCATCTATCTATCTGCCTTTATATATGCCTATCCATCTATCTATCTATCTGCCTATCTATCTGAATATTGATCTGCCTATTTTTCTGTTTATAGATCTGCCTGTTTATATGCCTATTCATCTATCTATCTATCTATCTGCTTATCTATCTGCCTATTTATCTGCCTATCTATCTGCTTACATATCTGCTTATCTATCTGCCTATCTATCTGCCTATCTATTTGCTTATATAACTGCCTATCTATCTGCCTATCTATCTGCCCATCATTCTGCCTATCTATTTATCTGTCTATAAATCTGCTTATTTATCTATCTATTTATCTGTCTATATATCTGCTTATTTATCTACCTATTTATCGTCGGTATATCTGCCGTTATATCTGCCTATCTATCTATCTGCTTATCTATCCATCTATCTATCTGCTTATCTATCTGCCTATAAATCTGCTTATATATCTGCCATATATCAATATTTCAATAAATCTATTTATGTATCTTCTAAATTCTTTCTGTCTGGCTGTCTGTCTTTTTATCTTTCTATCTATCTGTCTGTCTGTCTATCTATCTGTCTGTCTACATCCTATTGTGCTAGACCCAAATAAGTATTTGACCCTTGCATGATTTTGACCCAATTGTAATATGTTCCCATTTTACTAAGGTTGCAATTTTAACAAATTACTGAAATTCCTGGCGCTCGACGGATCCTCTAATTCCTGGCGCTCAACGGATCCTCTAATTCCTGGCGCTCAACGGATCCTCTAATTCCTGGCGCTGAACGGATCCTCTAATCTGGGATATCTGGGAATTAATGAGAAGGAATTGTTTATTATTTCATATAGGCAGAATGGGATTCCTGTTGTGTGCAATGCCCCGGAAAACTCCAAAACAGAGAGAGGGTGGATTGCATTTTGTAGATCCAGAAAAATAATATATGTGGGATGCCTGGGTAGAGACTGGCAGCTGGTGGGGTCTTAAATGTAAGACATGTGGCCGCAGCGCTTGGCCCCCTAGCCTGTCCTAGCCGCAGCGCTCGGCCCAGAAAGTGTCTTAACCTAACCTAACCCTAAATAAATACTAATTTAATTATTAATAATTAATAATTGTGGTTTCTCTATACAAGTGCCACACGGATTTCTGCCTAGAGAATCCATAGAGTTAATATTTAGCATTAACACTTTAAACCTAAAGAAACTACGATATCATGAACATTATTTATCAGATACAGGTTTAAAAATACCTTTGTGAATCGGCAATGCCATCTCTTTTAAATGGAGGGTAATTTGAAATTAATCTAATATTCTTGAATAACCCCAACCACCCCTCCTTGCATCTCAGAACCTTTCAAGCCAACCAGCTAACCAAACTAACTAACTAACTATCTGATATTAGAAACAGAGCCAGCTAACCAAAATAATTAACTAACTATCTGATACTAGAAGCAGAACAAACTAACCAAACTAACTAAGTAACTATCTGATATTAGAAGCAGAACCAGCTAACAAAACTAACTAACTAACTACTTGATACTAGAAGCAGAACCAGCTAACCAAACTAACTATCTAACTATCTGATATTAGAAGCAGAACCAGCTAATCAAACTAACTAACTAACTATCTGATATTAGAAGCAGAACCAGCTAACCAAACTAACTAACTAACTATCTGATACTAGAAGCAGAACCAGCTAACCAAACTAACTAAGTAACTATCTGATATTAGAAGCAGAACCAGCTAACAAAACTAACTAACTAACTACTTGATACTAGAAGCAGAACCAGCTAACCAAACTAACCATCTAACTATCTGATATTAGAAGCAGAACCAGCTAAGCAAACTAACTAACTAACTATCTTATATTAGAAGCCAGCAGAACTAAAAAACGTCGGCATGAATTAGAAAAGAAATCTGAATGGTCCAACTTAGTGAACTTTCATATGTAAAAATAATTTAATTAAATTATTTTTTGAAACTTAACTTTTATGTTTAAAAACTAAAATGTTTGATTTTATTTCATTGGAAAATATTCTTTTTTTTAAATGTAAATTTATATCCCTGAATATTATACACATACAGAGCTAAATGTTCGCGCTTGTTATTTCGTCAACTTTTTATACACAACACTGACAGATATCAGCAGTCAGCTGACAGATAGTTAGATAGATGCATAAATAGATAGATAGTTAGATAGATAGATATAAGATAGATAGTTAGATGGATATAAAAATAGATGAGTGTTAGATAGTTAGATAAATAGATAGAAAGATGCATTTATATATATATATATATATATATATGAATATTTATAAATATAAAGATAGATAGATGTATAGATAGATAGATAGACAGATAGATAGTTAACCAGATAGATAGTTAGAAAGATAGAGAGTTAGAAAGATAGATATTTAGACAGATAGATAATTAAGAAGATAGATGGTTAACCAGACAGATATTTAGAAAAGAGATAGTTAGACAGATAGATAATTAAGTAGATAGATAGTTAACCAAATAGATGGTTAGAAAGATAGATAGTTAGACAGATAGATAATTAAGTAGATAGATGGTTAACCAAATAGATAGTTAGAAGGATAGATAGTTAGACAGATAGATAATTAAGAAGATAGATGGTTAACCAGATAGATAGTTAGAAAGATAGATAGTTAGAAAGATAGATATTTAATTAGATAGATGGTTAACCAGGTAGATAGTTAGAAAGATAGATATTTAGACAGACAGATGTTTAGACAGATAGATATTTAGACAGATAGATAATTAAGAAGATAGATAGTTAACCAAATAGGTAGTTAGAAAGATAGATAGTTATCAGATAGATAATTAAGAAGATAGATAGTTAACGAAGATAGATAGTTAACCAAATAGGTAGTTAGAAAGATAGATAGTTATCAGATAGATAATTAAGAAGATAGATAGTTAACCAAATAGGTAGTTAGAAAGATAGATAGTTAT